GAGGACGATAATCATGAGGATTGGATTGATCGTGCATACTCGTTCGCTATCGTGCTTTTGAACGATCGCACGCATCATATAGCTGGTGGTTTGGGTGACATACGTCACGAAGCGCATCGCACATGTTTCATCTCGCAGAGCGTGCGCGTACCAGCGTTGCGCGTATACTTTGATGTCACGCAGACGGAAGAACCAGAACCAGATATCCCACGCTCGGATGCGGCGCGCGCAAGACGCGCTGATGACCACTATAGAACAGTTTCTTACCACGCGCGAAAGACCCACTGACGTTTCAGATGAAGAATTCGAGAAGTTCGTGAACAACGCGGCGCGTTATTTCGTTCTGGAAGGCAACCTATGGCGCAGAGCATCGCACAGCAAACATCAACTTGTGTTACCTCCAAACAAGCGCTATCGCGTTCTCAAGGAGGCGCATGACGACTTAGGGCACAAGGGTATCTATACCGTCAGCGCGGGCCTACGGCTACGCTTTTGGTGGCCGCGCATCATCGAAGACATCAAATGGTATGGACAAACGTGTCACGAATGCCAAGTTCACCAAACGAGGAGGCTGCATATTCCTCCAATCGTCCCCATACCAGGAGGTCTATTTCGCAAAGCGCACATCGACACGATGAAGATGCCCAGAGCGGGCAGATATGAATACCTCGTGCAAGCGCGATGCACGCTAACGTCATATCCGGAATGGCGCATGCTGCGCAAAGAAAATACTAACGCGCTAACCGCTTTTATTTTCGAGGAGCTCTTGTGTAGGTGGGGCCCGATCACAGAGATAGTGACGGACAATGCGCCCGCATATAGGCTCGCAGTAGACGAGCTCGCGCGCACATACGGGATTCACCCGATCCGCATCTCGCCATATAATTCTCAGGCAAACGGTATAGTCGAAAGACGACACCACGATGTCCGGGAGGCCATCATTAAAAGCTGCGACGGAGATGATTCTCGCTGTTATCAGGTAGTTCATTCAGTTTTCTGGGCCGAGCGCGTCACCATTCATAAAGCAACGGGTTTATCGCCCTATTTCATGATGCATGGCGTCGAGCCAATATTTCCCTTTGATCTTGCAGAAGCGACGTTCCTCGCGCCCTTACCAAATTGAGGCGCATTCACCACCACTGACCTTATAGCATGGCGCGCGCGCCAATTGCAGAAGCGCGTAGAGGATATTAACGCGATTAAGGATAAAGTAGTCGCGGCGCGCTACAAGTCCATACGCGACTTTGAAAGACGCTTCCACGCGTCTATCAAATCGCACGACTTTGAACCCGGCGCCTTAGTATTGGTATGCAACTCGAAGGTTGAATACGAACTGAGCAAGAAGATGAAGCCACGCTATTTGGGACCTATGATCGTAGTGCGCCGCACGAAGGGAGGCTCATATATGTTGGCCGAGTTGGACGGCGTGATCTCAAAACTCCGGTTCGCCGTGTTTCGCGTCATCCCTTACTACCTGCGTAGCGAGGAGCGTGTATCGGTAACCCAAATGACTGGAGTAGATAACGAGAGCATCGACGAACTAGAAGCGTATGAAACCGTAGAACCTGACGAAGACGAGCCAGAGCGCGTGCAAGACGATTAGCGCGCGCGACCATATTCCGCGCGCCCGCACATCACCCAATCATATTCGCGCAAACGCGCATCCCTCAAAAACATAAAAACAAAAACACCAGATAATACGAAGAACACAAAAATATTCCATTAAGTACATACTCTCAGTTTTACCCCGGGTTTCGTCCGGTGATATCTCTCATATCATTTGTTCATATAACGCGCATTGCCTGCACATAAACCCCACAGACTCTAGAATATATCAAATGCACCAAGAAACACGCTAATACCCCGCAAGTACATACTGATCACTACCTTAATTGTATAGCGCACGCATAATCACCTCATTAGACTTTCACCTTCTAACGCGCGCGCGGCGCCGCGCACTTTTTTCTAACTTTCATTCAAGCGCGCGCACGTCATCGCCTCGGCGCGCGCGGCGCAACAAGGCAGGCATAGATGATGGAAGGCGCGCGAAGAAGACAAGACGGGCGCGCACCCCGCAGAAAATTCAGTAAAGTCCATCGCATTACCTTGATCTCGTCGCGCGCTTGTCACTTACATACTTATAATTTTAATTTCTTAAGCCCAGTGAATCAGATGGGGACATGGACATGGACATGGAACAAGACAACACAGGGATTATCATACAGGCGCATTGGCGCTCAGAAGGAGTACACAGGCGCATTGGCGCTTAGAAGACAAGAAAAACAAAAGAGAGGTGCATCTACTTAAGGGAGTCATTGATCTGCCTCTCCAATTCAGCCCACGCGTTGGACATAGCAAAAAACTTGTTGGAATAGTTGAGGAGGTCCGCCTGTTGGGCGCGCGCATACTGGCGCATCTGGAGAGTGGAAGTGCGCAAGTGTGCATTTTCCTCCTTCAAACGCGCGGATTCCGCGCGCGCCTCTTTCAACTCCACCGCTGGATCCTTGAACTTGTCCTTTCCCTTAGGCGCAGAACCAGACGCCAAAGGACCAACAGCGCGCACAGGAATATCGCGCGAGGTGCGCACGACCTTCTCCTCCACAGAGCGCTCTCCAACAATCTCCACATCCATCTCAGACTCCTCAGATTCTTCTTCATCCTCAACAGCAATGGAGGAAGCGGTCTCCTTTGCAGACTCAGGAATAGGGCACTTAGGCATTGGTTTGCACGGGCGCGCCTTAGGCGCATCAGTAATGTTGCGCTTAGCTAATCCACAGCAGTTAGTGGCGCGCGCCAACAATAGACAAGAGGCGCGACTTACAGAAAGTGCAAGCGCGCTTGGAAACATCACAAGGAGGGCACCGGCGTCCAGGCGCGCCTCCACAGTCTATGTCCTTGGCAATACAGGCGCCACAGCGCCGCGCCTTGACCACAGACATGCGCCCGACGCGCGGCTAGCGCAACCAGCCATGTTAATAGAGTGGCGCGCCAACAGGAAACAGAAGACGCACCTTCTTGCTGACATCAGTACCAGACGTGTCAGTGGCGCGCGCCTCGACTTCGGACGCGCCAGTGGCGCGCGCAGCTTGCATGGGAGGCGCCGGTGGAACTGAGGCAATCGCCTTCGCCTTCCAGTCCTTCACGACCGCCTCAATCTCCTTACAACTCTTCCGTCCCTGCTTTAACGACTCCGCGCTCTTGTCATCCATCTCCAGCACCAACGCCAACACACCCGCGCGCGTGGAACAACCGTTCAAGGTGGCCTAGGAATGTTAGTCCACAATAGACAAATACATGTAAGCGCACTCACCAGCACTGAATACCACTCGCGCAACCACATCTCTTGATCCTCGAGGAGTTCTGGCTTGAGATCAGGCGCGGACATCACACATCCTTCCAAAGAGACCAGAATGGAGGCCCAAGCGACAAGGAGGCGGTCGGCATCTGATTCCACGCTAGCGTCACCCATAGGCGCGTCCTCAGGAGGCCCTTGCGCCACTGGAACAGGCTCAGGGGAAGGAGTGGCGTTCAACATAGCAACATTGAAAGTAGGCATGATGAGAGATTGATAAGGAAGAAGTCAAGAGATCGCGAGAACGCGTCCATCTTCTTATCAACATCTCCTCTGATTACATCATCGATGCTTGTGATCATCAAAGGACGACCCTACTCTCGCGATCACCTGATCCCTGTCTATCATCACCTCTCTAAGTCCAAGATCCCGCGCTATAGCACTGAGTGGGGACACTCAGAATGTAAGTCCCCAAGAGATGTAGAGACTCACACGTCTCAATGCCGGATATCCGGTCTTTACCCATACATTCCTATATGCGACAGCTCTAATCCTAAGGACCAGTCTCGCGCGCGCCTTACCTATGCACGCGCTATATGCGTGCTTCGCGCGCCTCCTCATAGGTCTTCGCGCTATCGTCCGTCCATCCGTCCCATGTCCTTACTGATTCACTGGTGCGTTATTTCTATCTTATCCATTGAACTAATAAAATCTTCGGTCCGATGTCCGCGCTACTTATAGAAAGTTTATTTAAACTTAGTTATAATTAGAGTTGATATGGTTACTCGGTTCGGGAGCGCGCTCGGAAGCGCGCCATCTCCATTCTTAAATACAGAAGGGTTTCCTTTGGTTCTGGTACTTACTTTCCCCTTATCTTTGTGTACTGGAAAGTGTATAGATCACCTCCTCACTTGTTATAAGATCTGATTCTCCTGTCAATCATCCATCTGGGCATTCACTCCTCAATAGGACGTTTCCCTTAATGCTCAAGGCGCGCCTTCGCTTCGCGCGCGCGCATTCTCGAACCTCCCGCTCACGTGCGCATCTCGCGCGCCTTTGCCTCGCGTACGCACGCCTTCGCGCGCGTTATCTTCTCGCACCTGTTAGCGCCCACCTAGCTCATAGAGTTTCCCTCCACTTTTTTTCGAGGAACTTCTCTCAGTGGTTGTCCCTTGGGTGGAGTCGTTGTCTCATATCCTGGTCTTGCTGTTGAGCACCCTTTTGTTTTAAGTGTTTTCACGTCTAGTCAAGATTCCTCATCTACACCGCAAAAGTCGCACAGCAATGCAAATCCGATAAGCAGGTGATGACCGGACAGCCGATCAGCTGGAGACGCCTGGTTCTGGAAGATGGTATGATAATAGGCAGTCATATATGTACTTTATTGATACACCTCTTGGAGGGATGCACCATGCATGTAGCATCGGTGATGCACCCACGACTGCATGGACTATCTACACCGGATCATCATACCATTGGCTGTCACAGTTTCATGTGAGCATCATGAAATTGAAGCATTCCCTCACCACGGATCACAACATATTGAGGGGAACAACAATGTGGTTCTCATCTAACAAATACAGAGAGCGAGAACTGGAATACAAGGGAGAGTGACCGGGAACAGCACGAAAGAATAGCTAAAAGTACACTATATGTGGTATTGGAAACTAGTTTGTTCTACATATACCGGAGGTGGCGACATCGCTCTCTACCGGGCATCCGAGGCATTGAGGCATTGCTCCAGTGCATTCAACCGCTGGTGGAGGATATTTTCCACCGAACGCACTCTTATCTCCAAGGCATCCACACAGTCATTGATGGCAAAGAGATCCAGTCTCTTGCTGAGGTCCCGGATTCCCTGCAGGATGTCCCTTGCAGTTGGCTCGGGATCGGCGATGTTGGCTGGTGCAGGCTGATCATCCTGTTCCGGCCGAGGGCTTGTGCCAATGGTTGGGAGTGTGCACATGGGCACATCAGCCAGCGGACCAGGCTGTTGCTTCTCCTCTAAGAGTCATCTGGATTGGTTTCATGGTGGGAATGCTCGATGTTGCAATGACGGGGACATCAAGCGCAGAGGGTGGGTGATAGTGGACGGTCTTCTGGAATCGCAGGTGGTCCTTGATTTGTGGGTCGTCATCAGTAACAGAGGTCCAGTCGGGGACACTCTGAAAGGCGCCGCCCCTTGAGTACTGCCGGATAATGGTGGCACAGGAGAGTAGCAGAGGAGAGAATGATGTTGCTGTTCCCGCGTAAAGTTTCAAGTCTCTTGCCTGTATCAAATGACAAATGTTAGTTTGACAAAAAGCATTTTGAGGGGAACATCAGAAACACTCACCACGCGCCTGGCTATCTCATCCGATAGCTTCAAGGCCTCGGGATCGCCCTCCTTCACCTTGATGCATCGCTTCATGAGCGATTGCACAATGACCAGTATGACTTTCAATGTGTCATTAGCTGCTTCCGGAGGTACGGACATGATGGATTTGTAACAAAGTACGGTGGTGCAGAGGGAAATGAATACAGTAGATATCAAAAGCTGATTTTGGGAGATTCCGACAAGGCTGGATTTTATCGATCCGGTTGTGAGTGTTACTGGAAAGTGATGGATTGTGGATTGTGGATTGGAAATTTGTGGTCTCAGTCTTGTATCCATAAGAGGTCCGACAATTGTTCGACGCAATGTTACGCAATAATCCATGCACCACTCCCCGGATGAATGAATCCGAATGTGGTAACAGTTCAAAATGATTGCTCTAACATTGCATTCATCTGGCACTGGAGCAAGAATCAAACATTTGGCTCCTGCTGGTAAAGCATTCTTTATTCCAACTGTGTATACTGTGCAAGTAGGCCTAACCATCAAACTTCTACACTACATAACACAAGATTGTGAGTAATATCGGGCATCTAGCACCACATATATGCAACCAAACTCTGTAATGATATATCAATGCCGATCCGGATTTAATGTTCATATTCATGTTGACGGCATGGATCTGCCGGGCCCTGCTATAAGCACGGAATTGTCATAATCAATACCATTCTCTAAATATATGGCGACATGCCAGCGGCTTGTGATACTTATGTTCCGGATGCTGGTATAGCTAATAGATGGATATGTGCCTCACAGCATGCAACCGAATAATATCAGATCCTGATCTGATGTGAATATTCATGTTGGAGGAATACGCAGTACATATAGCATCTGCTGGGCCGTAGTCGGGAGTGACAAACCTTGCATTCATGCCTGTGCCACAACCACAAGAACCATCCAAACCAGAGCATTATGCCATTGGATATATCACACCTTGATACTCAGACAACTTAATTCTGGAATGCTAACACAATATTCAAATTGATCTTCCTGGCCCAGGCTAACTATTAATGTCACACACCTTCCAATACAGGATCCCATTTAATATTGTCGGTATGTAGGAGCACCAAATGTATGCAATCAAAACTAAGTAAAGAAATGACATCATCACTGTCCATCAGGATCCAATAATAAGTATTTAATCATCGGATATCATTGAGAGATTGTTAGAGGTGTCTGGCGATACATCCGCTGCCGGGACCATGGAATCGACAGTTTCCGTAATGAGCACAGCAGATGCTGAGGTGCCGACATGCCCTTGAACACCTGTCATCACAGACGCATCCCACGCATGAGTCCACTGTCGGCCAATTGCTGAGATGTGTGGGTCTTCATCACTCTGAGTGAGCCAGGCCGGCAGGTGTGCATTTGCATGACTTGGGGGGGCATAAGCGGTAGTGTTGATACGGGAACGATGTGCAGTCAGATCATCTTTATGGTCCCGAAGAGCAATGGTTAAATGGCCAACAGAAGCTGACATTGCTCTCCATTCTGTATCAGGTGAATTGAGATGTTGCTCAAGTGCACTCAATCGCCGCCCAAAGACATCTTCCACCGAACCGAGTCTTGCATCCAACTCATCGACCCTTTCGCTGGTGGCGAGAAGATCAAGCCGCCTTCCAAGGTCCTGGATGCTCTGGAGGATGTCCCTTGCAGTTGGCTCGGGCTGCGCGGGATTGACTGCTTGCAGCGTTTCCGCCTCGGCTTGCACCAATGGGCACATCATAGGCATCGGTTGAACCTCTGTGTGAACCAGTGGAACATCAACAGACATTGGGTTAGCATCCGGTGCAGAGTCTTGATAGGTTTCAGTTCAAGTACCAACTGTGGAATGAAAACATTCACCTCCGTGTTCAATGTTGTTGGGCTCAACATCCAAAGAGGAAAGTGCCGGCGGTATCAAGATCTGCCAGGACCGGGTATTGACCGGAGTATTGTTCACAACTCGGGACTTGGGGGCATGTGACTTAGAGCATCTGACAGGGTGGGAGTCACCTGCCGCTGTGGCCTTTGCCTTTGCCTTTGCCTGCATTCTTTTCCGGATGCTGACTCCGTTGATCGCACATGTGATCTTCATATCATCGCAATTAGCACAGGCAAGTCAAATGCATCTGATCTTCTTATCCGGGAGGACAAGACAGGCCACACCCAATTTGATGCACTTGTCGCATTTCTGTGGGTGATGACGAACAGAATACTTCAAACATCTTGGCGTCAATGTTTTTTCATGCAAATAATAATGAGGTTACCTTCACTGCTGTGGCGATAGCAGAGTCCTGGCCCCATTCAACAGGCTGATGAACATCCAAGTCAACATCTGCAGTTAGCCCAATAAAAACACTTACCCTGCTTTCTGCATCCCAGAAACCTCTATCATGCGTGCCTTCTGAGTGATGCGAACCTGCCGATGCCAAATCCTCTTCAGTGATGCATTGTGATGGTATCACCTTAGGGAATATAATCATGTGGTGGGTCAGCTATGCCGAACAAAAGACGCGGGACTCACCTGCATCAGAACTGGGTTGGTAGTTTCATTGTCTTCATCAGCCGACATTACCCTTTTCCTCTTCGGAACAGACTTCCATGACCGGGAAGTCGAGTTGTCAACTAATTTCGCCTCTACCGGTTGGTCATCTTCCGCCCGTCTCTTCTTACCATTGCTGCCCTTTGGAATTGCATTCACTGCATTCTTAATGCCTGGCACAAAAAGGTTGTATTTCAGCAGGATTGGAGCTGACACAGGAAGAGGGGTCAGAGGTTCCAATGCCTTTGAGAATGGGGATGGTGACAATAGCGACAGATCTATTGCCGGTGTGGCAGATATGCTCGAATGGTCTATGTCTCCGGGAGGAGGGGCCGAAGTAGATACAGCCGCGACGGGTGGTGTTGTCAATGAGAACAGTGCCGAAGTTCCACAGGAGGAGGAAGAGGAGGATATTCGTGTTAATGCTGTTGGAGTGTTAAGACCATGCACAAAGGGTAGGACTGATTCTGAGGGGCTTGGCTTCAGCTCGTGCGCTGTGCCCCTTACCCGAGTATGTGCCCTTAATTTCAGATTGGTGTCCGAGGAAAGTCCAAAGATGTCCGAAGGACATCCGAAGGCGCGGGAAACTTCGGAAGGACTTTTCGGATGGGTGCAAGTAACTTCCGTATGAGTGTGGGAAAGTTCTGGAAATTACGATGAGGTTTCGTCCTGATATGGATATGTATAATGGCTACTCGGGACTTGTCCTGAGTAGAAGTAAACAGAGGAAAGGCTGCAAGGACAAAGTCCAAAGCAGAATAGGTCCGGAGGACTGCGGGAAAGATCCGGACGGACTTCCGGAAACTACGGAGGATCGGATGGGCGGATGAGCGGAGTATCGGATAAGCAGAGCTCCGGCCTAGGGAGAAACTCCCTAGGCCTGAGATGGATAACAACTAAGTTGGAAGACTAGAACTGATATGAGGACTTAGAGTGAAGACTAGTGCGAGGACTAATATGATATTCAGACTGAGGTACTACAAGACATATACACAAGTTTATATACTAAGAGAAATAATGGAAGGATCAATAAGCAGAGTCCAAGGCTATGTACAAAGCATATGCAAAGGTTGACAAACACGAGTCGGAAATGAACATGGGTTAACAGATAAGTAAGCATACCGGTAATAAATATAACCGAGGTACTGGTAACAAGGAATACCGGATAGGCTGTGTTAACGTTATATGCACAGGAAATGAATTATGAAGCTTATCGTATATCAGATAGGAAACAGATCTATACATCGGATCGGACCGGATCGGATATGGTCCGGACGAGATGCGTGGATATATAGGATGTGGCATTAGGGCAACGGGACAAGGATGAATGATGCAGGCTAGCTGCGAAGGAAAAGGGATCTGGACGTGGACGTGCGGATGTGGATGTGCAGAGGTGCAGGGATCCAGATGGGTAGAGGACTGGAGACATGGATAGGACATCCGAAGGTCCGGATGAGGCGTGGGAAGATTATCAGATGTAAGTCCGGAATATGGGATATGACAGTAGTCGAGACATTCTTGTCGGTGCGGGGTTGACATTCCTCTCGCAGAAGGAGATATGATATTTAATGGTGCCCATAACGTCTCCATAATCTCCCCATCTATTCTGGCTGCTCCTGTAATAAAGGTTGATGCATACCTCACATAGCACTTGTCCTGATGGCCATGGACATGCCACAGTCCTATTCCCGGTACGATCTCCATACCGGCAGGGATACTCATGTATGGACTTTCATTTACCCTACGTCGGAAATGCTTGTCATATTGGCAGTTGATGTCATAGAATGTTAAGGCTCTTGTGAGTCCATTGGTGTGATGGCTCAAAGCATGACAAAGAGTGTAGTCCATATTCATTTGTCTGATTAATGACGTCAAGGAGGATAAAGCCAGTGACATTGGTTACCGTACCTTTCCCCTTTCTGGAAATCAACAATGGAATGAGGTACAAAACAGCCATGTTGAGCGCATGCACAACCACCAATTCCTGTAGCTTCCAGTTTGTGTTGGGAAGCATTTGCTTGATTCACAGCCCGGTGGTTGTTGCACTCTGACATTTGAACATGTTCGTTGGCGCTGGCTAGATGGGCCTTGTATTTGTCTCGGGTCACCATGAAGCACAGGCCATCTGTCAACCATACTTCATCTTCCGGACAAGTAGGATGCAAATGTTCTGCTTTGAAATTACCATCCATGACCAGAGATCTCGCATATATCCATTCTGGATCATCGCTGTTTCTTTCAGCCGGCTGCGGCGCATTTATTCCGGGTTGAGGGCATGCTGGGCAAAAAAGAGCAAGTTCACCAGATTCCAGTTGTTTCTTGTTGTGAGCAAAGCCATTCCATTTCAGCAGTTTTAGTTGACGCCATTGCCATCCCACCTGCATCAATTCCCTGTAGCGGTCCTGTTTTGATGTTAATTCATACATGGATGACCAGGCAGCACCTTGCACATACTGGGACTGAGTGGGGAAATATGCTAGATGTCATTCTCCTCAATTTACTGGAGTAATTCATAGCTGATGTTCCGCATTCTAAGTTATCGAGCAGTGTCAGAGTGCAACAACCACCGGGCTGTGAATCAAGCAAATGCTTCCCAACACAAACTGGAAGCTACAGGAATTGGTGGTTGTGCATGCGCTCAACATGGCTGTTTTGTACCTCATTCCATTGTTGATTTCCAGAAAGGGGAAAGGTACGGTAACCAATGTCACTGGCTTTATCCTCCTTGACGTCATTAATCAGACAAATGAATATGGACTACACTCTTTGTCATGCTTTGAGCCATCACACCAATGGACTCACAAGAGCCTTAACATTCTATGACATCAACTGCCAATATGACAAGCATTTCCGACGTAGGGTAAATGAAAGTCCATACATGAGTATCCCTGCCGGTATGGAGATCGTACCGGGAATAGGACTGTGGCATGTCCATGGCCATCAGGACAAGTGCTATGTGAGGTATGCATCAACCTTTATTACAGGAGCAGCCAGAATAGATGGGGAGATTATGGAGACGTTATGGGCACCATTAAATATCATATCTCCTTCTGCGAGAGGAATGTCAACCCCGCACCGACAAGAATGTCTCGACTACTGTCATATCCCATATTCCGGACTTACATCTGATAATCTTCCCACGCCTCATCCGGACCTTCGGATGTCCTATCCATGTCTCCAGTCCTCTACCCATCTGGATCCCTGCACCTCTGCACATCCACATCCGCACGTCCACGTCCAGATCCCTTTTCCTTCGCAGCTAGCCTGCATCATTCATCCTTGTCCCGTTGCCCTAATGCCACATCCTATATATCCACGCATCTCGTCCGGACCATATCCGATCCGGTCCGATCCGATGTATAGATCTGTTTCCTATCTGATATACGATAAGCTTCATAATTCATTTCCTGTGCATATAACGTTAACACAGCCTATCCGGTATTCCTTGTTACCAGTACCTCGGTTATATTTATTACCGGTATGCTTACTTATCTGTTAACCCATGTTCATTTCCGACTCGTGTTTGTCAACCTTTGCATATGCTTTGTACATAGCCTTGGACTCTGCTTATTGATCCTTCCATTATTTCTCTTAGTATATAAACTTGTGTATATGTCTTGTAGTACCTCAGTCTGAATATCATATTAGTCCTCGCACTAGTCTTCACTCTAAGTCCTCATATCAGTTCTAGTCTTCCAACTTAGTTGTTATCCATCTCAGGCCTAGGGAGTTTCTCCCTAGGCCGGAGCTCTGCTTATCCGATACTCCGCTCATCCGCCCATCCGATCCTCCGTAGTTTCCGGAAGTCCGTCCGGATCTTTCCCGCAGTCCTCCGGACCTATTCTGCTTTGGACTTTGTCCTTGCAGCCTTTCCTCTGTTTACTTCTACTCAGGACAAGTCCCGAGTAGCCATTATACATATCCATATCAGGACGAAACCTCATCGTAATTTCCAGAACTTTCCCACACTCATACGGAAGTTACTTGCACCCATCCGAAAAGTCCTTCCGAAGTTTCCCGCGCCTTCGGATGTCCTTCGGACATCTTTGGACTTTCCTCGGACACCAATCTGAAATTAAGGGCACATACTCGGGTAAGGGGCACAGCGCACGAGCTGAAGCCAAGCCCCTCAGAATCAGTCCTACCCTTTGTGCATGGTCTTAACAATCTCCTAGCACGCCTGCTACAGTAAATATCCAGCCCAACAAGATGAGGAGAGTAGTAGAACGCCCGCAGAATGCTGTCCACAAGCATGGCAGGAAAGGCGTCGGGCTTGAACCTTCTGCAACAGCCGCAGAACTCACAGCCAGTGCACCTGGGGTACAGGTCAAACAGCCTGCACAGGTGGTCAATACTGCTGATATTATCCCAGCAAAAACCCGAGTTCACAAAAGGACTGCTGAAGAATCATTGGAAAGGTCTCCCACAAAACGGATGAGGCGTCAAGTGGCAATGGAACAGGACAAGGGAATTGCGAGACAGGCTGGTAAAATGGCAGGGAAGAAACATGTTACTGAACAGGCTACCGATGGGTCTCCCTCGAAACGGACCAGGAGCAAGACTTCACAAACCGGTGCGGGTAAACGTGCCCAGAAGCCCAACTCTCGGTACAACGATTATGTAAAACCTTGATTGATGTGGGTCTCTTTTTGGGAGGAGGGGGAGAGGGGCACAGGGTGTCTCTTCCGATAGCTTTCACTGACGGACCACAATCTGGTCACGACAAATGGACTTTGTGATATATCTTTGAAGTCATTCTATCGGTCGGGCATATGTCGTGTATATTCTACACATTTTTCATGATGGGAAGTAATACAAATTAGATTGCATAGGGAACTATAGTCATAGCATACTATCCCCCTGCTGCTCCACTCTGGTTATCATCGCATCTAGCGGGTACATGATCCGGCGGTGAATATTAAGTAAACGATGTATGTTTATGACATCAGCCCCGAGGTTAGTTACCCGATCTCTTGCCTCGGCATATGCACCAAACAAATGCCGGTTGGCCATGAAAGTGAGCCCTGGTCGTGAGTCATATACAAGTCCATCCCCTGGTGCGACAATGTTGCGAACATATCTATCGACTGTCCGACACGAAAGTCAGCCGGAATCGGAGTGGAAATGCAAAAAACTCACAGTCACTATGTCCTATGCTGTTGAGCCGTCGGATCGCGCGACGCATGGACTCTCCTGCCTCTTGGAATGCGTTGGGTTCGGTTGGAGACATGGATCTCTCTGCAACCACCAGAATTAGAACATATAGAGAAAGTGAAAATGACATACCTGAATTGGCTGATGTAGACGTCAGCACAATGGCATTCGTTTCCTTACCGAATGTCTGGTCCACCGATCGGTTGACTGATGTGGACGTAAGGTCTAAGACATCCGTCTCCTCATCGAATGTCCGGTCCATCGATCGGCTGGGTGATTCAGAGGTGAGGTCAATGACATCCCTCTCATCGAATATCCGGTCCACCGATCGGCTGGGTGATTCAGACGTAAGGTCAATGACATCCGTGTCCATATAGAATGTCTTGTCCACCGATAGCCGCATGGTAGTTGGTCCCTCCATCGGATCTTCCCACCCACAGGTCGTATGGATCGTCTGCAGGGTCTCCCGGCATAATATCATCTTCCGGAGCTGTGGCATCCTGCCATCCGCAATCGTACGGATCGGCCATAGAAGCTATGTCTGCGGGGTCGCTGTCGTCCATAGGATTATCCCATCCAACATCGTAAGGATCATTTGCCGGTGCAGCAGATGTGATCATCTCGCCCTTGGAAGATGATGAATCGGCCACAATATCTATGGAGTCCTGTAAGACCGATCCCTGGCAGTACACTGGTCACTTACCTGCATTAGCTTTGATATCTTCACACGCCCGGTCAGCTCAGATATCGCTTTGTAAATGACCCACGCACTTTCATCCGTTGCTTGGACGGCCGCAGCAGTCACGATATCGCCCCATCCACAGTCATATGGATCTTCGGTCGATGACTCGTTCGGGGGCACCGTCTCGTTGATGATCAGAGCATCCATAGCACATAACATGTTGTCGCTAAGACGGTAGGACAATTCGGTCGGATGTTCTATGATGTTTTGTGAAATGACGGTGTTTCCTGGGACCCGGTGAGTACTTACCTCCGTTTGATCTTACATCCGTTAATACTACCAACGGGTCAGTTATGATATCTGAACGCAAATAATATACTTACTTTGCTCTAACGGCATGATTGTTTCCTGGGATGTCACATTCATGTCATCCTCCCATCCGCAATCGTACGGATCCATCGGCAACGATACTTCAGGTGAAACTGAAGCATTTGAAACGGTATCATCCCATCCACAATCATAGGGATGATACGTCGGGAGCGTTGATTCGACATCTTGATCGAAGGAGTGAGTTCCTGCGGTCAATTGTACCGGATCTTCTGTTGGGTTCAAATTAATCAGCTCCATGGCGAGTGCCAGGCTGTAGCTTACCTTCCGGTCTTGTACAGCCTAATCCGGTGAGTTAGTTTTGTTTTATAAGAAAATGAAGCAAAGCACCTTCTGCCGATGTTTGGACGGCCGGTGACACGCCAACGACCCCCATTGATGGGGAACGCAGGGCTGTCAAAAAGTTGGGTGTGCGGAGCAACTCTACAACATACATGTCTATTACGAAGTGTGAGATCAACGGTGTTCGGCTTAATATGGCACTCACCTGACAGCATGCTTGTGACTTCATCAAAGTCGCCATTAAAACATCGCTCGTAATCTACGGGACAAGGTTGATTCAGCGATGCCAGTATCCAGGTAACGACTTACTTTTCTCTCTCTTTCCTAAAGAATCAACCGATATTCATAGCTATGGGGTAACTCGGAACGTAATTTATATACTGCCAAAGAAATGTTTTGATCATTACCGGCTGATAGGGGTTAAATGGTGAACTTGCATTTATATATCGGATAAGATTCCAATCCGACGATTCCTTGGAATCTTGGAATGCTATCCGGTTTTGGAGGAACCCACGACTCTAAAGGGACATACTTGCCCCACCAATCTATGGGGTCCTCGGGCAATGCGGGGCGTGGCTCCACCGGGGAGTCATTTGATACAACATCATTTGATACGACACCATGATCTTGAGTGGAATTAGAACTGAACATGATGCTAGTCCATATATCACCAGCATCTGGAGGGAGTGAGTCACCAGCCTCTGAAGAGACTGGAGTGGCAACACAAACACGTCTCTCAGACATGAATGTTTGTGTAAAATGAATCCGAGAAGGCGATGAGGTGCCAAGATATACCTTCAATGATTTGTGGACCACCGACTGTGGGAACCAAATACATGGGACAATGATTGGTGAAATCCTTCTATTACGTGATTATTATATGATATCGGTCCATGCTGCCATTCTACGTTCGCCACGAGGTCTCGGAAACACCCACAACTGACAAATTGGTATTGATCCCGACATTCATAAAATTTCTCAGAGTCATTCCTCTTTCCCTTCCGCATAGCATTACTCTAACTTACCAACATCTTTCACATACTCCTATGATACCTTCCGAAGAAGCAAATGCTGCCCTCAATGATACTTTGAAAGATGTTCAATCCCTCATCAAATGATGTATGAAGTTGAAAGAAGGCGATTCAGCGACGGCATTGGCATTGTCAGATGAGATTGCTAGGCGCTTGGTACGTCTGGTTACCGTTGATTGTCCAGTTAATTTTGGATTGTGGACATCATTTGTTTCAGGCAAAAGATTTAAAACTCTATGGAGGGAGCGCAACATTGTTCTCTCCACAGCTGCTGTCATGCACAGCGGTCGTATGGCAGTACACTAAAGGTGGCATGTTTACATCGTCGCCGGACTGGACAACCATCGGCAACAATGACCCACGCATCAAGGATCATCCACGTTTCCAGAAGACTATACATTATCGAGCTCCTACCGGTTCTGAAAAGACGGAACATGAACTTGCCTCTCTCGCCCAGACAGATGTACAACAAGCTGTCTTATCATTTCCATCACTTGACAGTCCGGAAGGCAGTCCCAGGGCTGATATCCAGACTCCTGTAAAGCTTCTCCCCAGCACAGAGAAACCTCAACATGCGATTTCCTTGGAAACTGTTGGTGCTGTGGCACCTCATTCTCCCCCGCTAACTTTAACGAAGGCCTCGGAACCGATCACTGCTCTGCCCATGTCAACGGCGCCTGCGAGGACGCCGGAGAAGACTGTTTTGACCCCCCGCCAACTTTAACAAAGACCATGGAACAGCTCATTCTGGTGCCCACATCAACGGCGCCAGCGAGGACGCCGGAGACGACTGTGCTGACTCCCTTGCCAACTTTCACAAAGGCCTTGGAACCTCTCACTCCTCTGCCCATATCAATTGTGCCCGCGAAGTCACCAGAGCAGACTGTTGTGACTTGGGACCCAAAGACACGGGAGAAGACTCACAGACAACATCGTAATGATAAAAAAAGGCAAGTGGAAGATGATGTCACCGATGAAACAGATATCATACATAGGCCTGCCCCACGTCCATTATCCCGGCAACCAAAAAGGAAGAAGAAGTTTATGTCAGATGAGGAAGAGGAGACCTGGCCCCATGGAACTATATATGTAGCATGGAAGGTATGAAGACGCCTAACAATCCTTTAGCTCTAACCATAGCATCACACACAGCAGCATGTGTCATCATCGATGGCTAGTGCAGTTGCAACAGGGTCAAACACAATGTCCTCCGACGTGGTCGGTGATAAGGGTTTCTGGGATGTAGACACCAGGGTAGGTTGTCGTCTCTTGGTGATTGAATTGTGATGTTTATGCTCCCAGCCTGCCGGATGGGGTAGGAATTCCACCATTGCCACTGCGGCAGAGGTAGGTGCTTGATTATTTAGGTGACAATCACTGGTAATGAATTTGGTGCAGTATTCCATTCGTCACCACCCCCGGAAGTGTGACAAATGCGTGAAATTAGATGTACCTTGTATCGTCCTCCCGGATAAGAAGTACGGCTTCACAAGACTCGCATGTGCGAACTGCGACGAGATGAAGATCACTTGCGCAATCGATGGCGTTGGTGTCCGGGAGAGGTTGCAGGCAAAGGCTAAGTCAACAGACACTGCTGTACACCCTCCCGCCAAACATTCTAAGACTCGAGCCCACAAGTTGCAGGCTGCCAAATCACAGGCCAAACATGTCCCGTCCAAGAAAGCACAACCAACAACTAGATTCTCCCATGCTGAGAAGAAGGTTGTACATCATTTGTTGGACAGTAAGCATTGAATCCATTGGGCTGGTGAAGATCAACGCATCACAATTTTCTAGATACAACCACGGAACGACCAATGGACCTCGTGAAAACACATCCGGATCCACCAGCGAAACCCAATGTGCCGCTATTGGAGCCTGCATTGGCCCCGGCAACTGCCAATTCATCGACATGCATCCGGGAGACACAAGTCAGCTCATCCGCACCCGGAAACCCACCGGAGCCTGAGCCATCTGCAAGGGACATATTGCATAGCATACACGATCTCGGCAAGTGTTTTGATCTTCTTGCTATGAATGAGTGGGTGGACGCAATCAACGAGAGGTTAGACTCGGTGGAGGAACAGCTTGATATCAGATTGACTGTGCTGGAGAAACGGTTAAGCACATCGGCCGAGCAGTGGAAAGCGACCTTGTCGACTGTGGGCAATTTGTCCATGGGCGTTCGGAAACATATAAACAATGTTGCTGTTCATCGGCCACGGGAGCATGTTGGTGGACGTATAGCATCACAACAAGACAATGTGTCACTTCTGCCATGGACATTCCGAAATGCTGGTAGCGGAAATGAAGATATCGCTATCTCTCAGATAGGGAGGCCAGCTCATGGACTGACAGAACGTGGTAATATAAGAAGGGTACACTATTCCGGGAGGTCAACATCCACTGCTCAAATACTGGGTGCATCACTTTTGTTGTTGTCCTCACCTCTTTCCTCTCAATTCTCAAGTGCACCACCCGGTATGTTGGGCGAGTAGATATTGATTAGTTCCGGCATCAGAGGCAGCTCATACCGTACTTGTATTTCTACCATGATTCTGTAGGGTAATCAGTAAATTTTGGAGTCTGTGGCGCAAGGCTCGAATACTGTACCAATTTGATTGCTGAATGGTTAATTTATGAAGAAACTCATGTACACAAGGCACTACCGTTTCAGCGCTCAGTTCTGATAACATATAGTCCTGGATTGACTATGTCAGCTGGTACCATAGTTTTTGCTCCCCTTAATATCTAATGTGGTTTAATATAAGTGGTTGATCCCACCCACAATGGCCAAATTTCGCCCACGGAATGGGTCGGCCGGGCCCTCCTATAAACACGAGATTGTTGTAATCAATACAATTCTCTATATGATATAAGGCGACATCCAAGTGACTTGTGATATTGATGTTCCGGATGATGGTATACCTAATGGGCGGCCAGGTATGTACCTCTAGGTATGCAGCTGAACACTGTAATGATATCAATGGCGATCCGGATCTGACATTGATATTCATGTCGGAGGGATATGCAATATATGTAGCATCCACTGTCCTGTAGTTGGGAGTGATAAACCTTGCATTCACGCCTTTGCCACAACTGCAAGAGCCATCCAAACCGGAGCATTATGCCATTGGATGTATCACAGCTTGATATGATACTTACAGTATAAAGTGACACATATCCTAACCTGCCAGGCCAATATATTATAGGAAGCAACAGTGCCGTCTATATCCACAACATACATGGCCCCGGAACCGAACTACAGAGGAGGGCGACTGGGAACAGCATAATAAAGAAAACAGTAGCTAAAAGTCCAAGATATACATATATACATTGTGAACCTGGTATTATTACATAAAGTGTTCTGGAAACTTGTTGGTTTTAGATGGACCGTACATTATCTACCAGGCATCTGAGGCGTTGAGCCTTTGCTCCAGTGCGTCTAACTGCTGGTGGAGGATATTCTCCACTGAACGCACTCTTACCTCCAAGGCGTCCACCCTCTCATTGGTGGCCAGGAGATCCAATCTCCTGCCGAGGTTGTGGATGCTCTGCAAGATGTCTCTTGCAGTTGGCTCGGGATTGGCACGGTTTTCTGGCGCAGGCTGATTGTCCTGTGCCAGCCGATGGCTTGTGCCAACGGTTGGAACTGTGGGCATGGGCGCACCGACCGACGGACCCAGCTGTTGCTTCTTCTCTATGATTGAATTAGTCTCAGGTTCCTTGTCGGATTTAAGAGCAAACTCACCTTCAATCGAGTTGAGCTCAACCCGAGGGGATTGGGCAAGTGATCTCTTACCCGGGGTCTTGGAGATCGTGCGGGACATCTTCATGCGTGTTCCGAAGTTTCTAGCCGGCTTTAATGTTGCCGCAGCCACCTTCGCTTGCATTCTCTGCCTGACACCGACACCGTCAATGGCACAGGTGATCTTCATGTGATCGCAGTTTGCGCATGCAAGTTGAGTGTATCCGAACTTTTTGTCTGGAAGGACAACGCAGGGTATGTCCAATTTGGTGCACTTGTCGCACTGCCGAGGATGGTAACGAACGGAATGCTTGAAAATATGTTAGTCTTAAACTCCTGCTATGTACCGATAGACTTACCTTCCATGGCGTTGCGATCTGAGAATCCTGACCCCATCCGGCAGGCTATAAAAAGAATCAGTCCCAGAATGCTACACAGAGCATGGATAATGCACCCTTGTCTCTACCTCAAGGAAACTCTTGTCATCCGCCGCATCGGATAAATCCGGACCAGCCGCATCCGAATCCTTGTCTGACGCTGCATTGGACTTTGCGAAACTTGAGTCAAGGATTCATAGGCAAATGTGATTGAACATACCTTTACATATATAGTCCCGGTGCAAACTTTGTCCTCATAGGCCGACAAGAACTTCTTCTTCCTCTTCTGTCTTGGCTTTGAGGATGGAGGGTGCGACTTGAGATCATCGACATTGGTATCCTCATCTTCGGCCTTTCTCTTCTTGGTGTTACCGACCTGCGGGGCTGCCCTTCCGGATTTCTTCTTGGTGCCAGCCACAAAGAGATTGAATTTGACGGAGAGGTGGGGAGGGCTTTGTACATCCGCCATCTGCATCTGCGACCGCTGTCCCTTCAGCAGCTGATGCTTTAAAGCTAAAGTTTACTTTCTCTTTCTATAGGCTAGGGATAGGAGAGTCCTCTTCTTCTTGATTGTAGCTTTAATATTTGTTGCCTTGCAAGTATTATTAATGGTTTGAGTGAAAACAGAGCTGGAGATGATGGAATTGATGAATTAGGTGGCCTAAGTAGCATTAGCAGCCTGCCCAGTTAGAATATGGTAAATGTGATATCTTCATTCATGTGAGGTAAGCTTTCAATTTAGTCACTAGCAGCTCAAATACCATGATCTCAATGTTCTATCATGTCTAGCATAGTCCCTATACATCAGCCCTATTGAATATCTCTGAAAAATATTCAAGAAATTGCTGGCAGCCTATCAAAATTCATCATAGGGGCTATTTCAGCTGTAGGACAGAGTTGCAGCAGAGTGAGAAAGGAGTGCTAAGAAGAAATATTCAAAATTGATAGATAGCATGTCTAGAAGAGTGGCAGAAGTGATTAGAGCAACAGAAGGTCACATAAAGTATCATAATTATAGAGATTGTGTTGATCAAACTAAAAGTCAAAAAAGTGTCTCAATGAGTCACCAAATTAAAATAGCCATATCTGCACATGATGACATCAGCTTCCCACGCCATAGGGAACTCAAATGAGGCTAAGAAGCATAGCTTTATGACACCTCTCTATGGTTTAGTCATATTCCTACACCCTGGCGCATAATAAAGCAATTACATGAAATGTTACAAACATTGAGACACTTTTTTGAGCCACTGTATATAACTACATGGTCGCCCGAGATATTGCTTCCGCAAATGATAGGCACTGATCTCAAAATCTCTAATTCTCACTGCCGATCACAAACATGTGAAGTTGGTTGGTCGAACAATCGCAGTCTGCTGGGACCAAACGGACATTTGTTCATTCCATTTGTAACACCTTCCAGTGTGAAATTCATTCAATCCACATCCTTGAAGACCAATTCTCGGCCATTTGTCTACCTTTCCAAGACTAATCATGGATAAACAGTAAATCATCCCCTTCCGATATCACTTCCACCTGCCGATGTCACAAATCTCATCATCGCTGACCCATGCGGAGCACAGAGGCATAGTCTTCCGAGCCTAAAGATATCAAACTGACTTTTGTGAAACAAATTCATGTGAAACATAACTTAAGTGGAAATCAGATGCTTATCGTCGTCAATATTATGATGGTAAATTGGTCCTTCCGAAATTACACATTTTGTGAATCATGAAAAAACTAAGGTGACTTAAGGGTCAGCCTTTCCGATACCAAATTCATATTCCCTTGGCCAATCATGACTAGCCGGGCCCAACCGTTTGTGTAATCAGTTGGGGTATGCCCGTGGTGAAATAACCAACTGTGCTAAACCTTCAGTCCTTCCGATATCACACTCATAATAAGCTGGGCGCAACAGTCGGTCCTTCCAACATTGTATACATATTGACATATGATGAGCTGGCCCTTCCGAGATCACTTGATTGTGCTCCTGGGCTGAAAACAACTAGCCAACCCTTCCAATATCAAATGTTTGTTCTCCTGAGCCGAACCATTTCCTCTCCAAGATTATATGCAATTCTCCTGGATGCGTCGAAAATGAGTGGTTGGCCCTCCCGAGATCTGCTGGGCTAAACCGCAAATCCTTCCCCCAACAATATTTCCCGAACCCAAACACAATCAGCCGGCCCATCCGATATCAGACGCATGCCCACCAGCTGGCTCATATGCCATGATGACACATGACTACCAGTTGCCGCTTGGGTCCACAAATTACTGGCTTGGCCCAACTGCCAGTCTTTCTGAGTATTCTCCTGGGCCGAAAACATACCTAGTTGGCCCTTCCGACATCAACTGCATGTTTTCTCGAGCCCATCCATTGGCCCATCCGAGATCATGTATGCATTCTCCTGGGCCGAAAAAATCACCAGTCGGCCCTTCCTGTATCAGCTGGGCCAACGGCCATTCCTTCTGACATATTCTCTTCAGCCAAAACTGATTGGCTGGCTCTTCTGATATCATATGCTGGGTCGACACAAAACCTACTGGTCAGCGCTTGGGCCCAAAATCACTAGCAGAGCCCTTCTGAGATGACATGGATATAGAATATCCAGCTGGGCCTATCTGTTCTTCCTTCCGAGACATATATACAGGGCCCATCCATCACTCTCAGTACCTGTATCCCAATACAATTGGCCCGCTTATCCTGTTGATCTCACACTTGGCCGACCCGCCAGCATGGGTACTATTCCAAGCTGTGGGCCCATCCGTGATCAGCTACGCTTGGGCCCACATTGGATGGCCCGCCTCACTGGGTCAATTCTCAACATTTGGCTGTCTGACTAAGTCGGGAAATGTTACTGAAGGGGCTCTGGCATGTATAAAGGTGCTGGCCGGTCATGTAGAGCAAGTACTGGCCAGTTCAGCCAGCCTCCTGCTTGTAAAATGAGCACATGGCCTATACCCCCGGCCGGGGCTCTTATACAGCACAGTATAAGAGTCCCGGCTGGGGGCTGTGTCATGGCTGAGCTGCCCAGTACCTGCCCTGTGTGCTCGGCCAGGGATCTTATATGATCATATATAAGAGTGCTGGCTGGAGGCTGTGTTCTGGCTAAGCTGGCCAGTACCTGCCAAATACCCCTGGCCGGGACTCTTATACAGGGATGTATAACAGTCCTGGCCAGGGGCTATGTCATGGCTGAGCTGGCTAGTGATGTGCACGGCCCGGCTTCAGGCCAAGCCGGGCCTGAATAGGCCAAGCCGAGCCAGGCCAAAGTCATGGCTTGGTGACGGCTTTGGCCTGGCCTGAGATTTTGAAAAGCCAAAGCTGGCGGCTCAAGCCGCGGCTTATGTCACACAGAACTGTGCCTGCAGTGTCGCAAACACCACTCACTTGACGACCCCAGAACCCCAGAACCCCAGAACCCCACTTCTATCTCATTATAGACTTTCACTTTCCGTTGTATGAGCTCATGACAGTGAGTTGCAGAGCTTCGTTCTTTCCAAGCTTGACATAACTCACTTTGTTGCTGGTGGATAGATCAATTACAGTAATTTGCCCTCTTTTACGAGTCTCTTGTGACTTGCAAGCTTGGCAGCTAGCGCATTTGTTTTCAGACAAAAGGCCTGCATCTGTGATGGTATTTTTTTCATATCTGTTTCCTACTACTTGTCTCTAATGGTTGGAACCATCCACACAGACAGTGACGACAAATGTCATGCACGGCCAGTCCGCCGAACAAAGCCCAGTGCCACCCTTCTCCAACATTCAGAGAAGGCAGCTCTCCCATCCCAAACCAAGGCTATAAATGCCTTTCGTGCAGCTGAGGCTACGAGGTGTTTGCCTGAAATTCAACACACTTCCAACATGGATCAAACCACCCCCAGCTCAACAGGTGACACTGCACCATCAGGTTCAACCCTGGCAACCTCGGCAACACTCAAAATGGGTAAACGGGCGCATGTTGAAGCAGTTGTTGATGAATCTGATGGAGAGGAATATGAAGATGCACGCACCAATCCACGACGTAAGTTTCTTTTTCCATCTGCAAATATTAAAACTGATACCTGGTAGCCAAAAGATTGTGGCGCAAATCAGTGCCAATCAATGTAGATTTGATTGACGATGATGGCATTCCTACTGATGTTCATGTCCAACCTATCACCGACACAGCTCCAACACGCGAAGGGAAGACTGCTGATCTTGATGCATTTTTTGTGCAATGTTCGATCATACGGGAACCAATGGCAAGGTCAAAAAGCACCGAAAGTGCAAGATATGCTTGTAAGTCTATAAGGTCATGATTGCGCTTGCTCACTCACACCAAATTTATAGGAAACAGTGTTTACTTGTGAATGAATCTACGACACTTCGTCGTCATGCCGAAGCTAATTTTGCGGTGCGTACATTTCTTTCATATATTCATTGTGCATATATATATGATTATACTGTAGGGAAAGTATCGACAATGGGCAAAGGAGCACTCTTTCAAGTCGATGTTACCGGGTGATGTCAAGGCCCACAAGGAGAAGGCCGAGCAGGCGCAGCGGACCATTAACTCGCATCTGACTGAATGCAAACTCTCTGAACGAGTCATACCGTACTCGGATAAGTTATTCAAACAAGCTTCAATTGAATGGTTGGTTGCAACGGATCAAGTATGTATGCTTTGCTTGATCTAATAGTATGACCATTGACGCGCCTTCATCTAGCCCATCCAAGCCCTTGAACATCCAAAGTTCCAGGAGATGATTTATGTCGCTTCACGGGCGACAAATAGTGTCAAAATCCCCAGTTGCAAAGCCACCTGCGCCGAGATCATATGAATATTCAAGAATCATTTGATGAGACTCCGGACGACGTTAAATGTATGTCACAATCCAGCGTGTGCTTTACCACATCTCATCTGCCAACACAGAGCACTGCTGTTAGCGGAGCAATCAATATCACTTGCAATGCATGGCAAGCCACCAACACTGATGGATATTTCGCTGTCACTGGCCACTGGATCGAAGAGAAGTCGACGATGCAATGGGAGTGTGAAAGTGCACTTCTTGGCTTTACCCAGCTCAACAATGCACACAATGGGAAGCGTCTCAGTGGTGCACTGTTCAAAGTTTTAGATTGTGTCAGTATCACACATAAGGCATGTCATCTTTGCATTCTGCTTGACTCAGTCTAATTATGATATATAGTTGGGCCATGTCACTTGTGATAATGCCTCTAACAATGGCACAATGCTCGAGGAGTTTGCTCGACTCTATGAAGCGCGACACAAAAAGGAGTTCCCTTGCTATAAACGAAGGATCAAGTAAGACATTTGTTTCACAGTTGATATGTGCTCATGTAGTGTTCAGCTGTCTCGCTCATGTGATTAATCTCGCCACCCAAGTACTGATCAGTACATACAGCAAAGCTCCGCACTACGAGCCTCACAACCCCCATGCTCATGAGCTGGATACCACCAAGCATCATAATCGTGACAAGATCGGACTCATGCATTCGATATGCGTAAAGGTGATTGATGTCTCTTCACGCATTACATTTTACTGAATTGTTCAAAGGAGCGATCATCTGCGAAACATAAGGAACTTTACAAAACAGTGCAAGTCAAGGCTGGCATCTCGCACCCTACACAACTCCTTCTGGATATGAAGGTTCGTTGGTCCTCAACCTATGTGATGGTCAACCGTGCGGAGAGCAATAAAGAGGTGAGTGTAGCCTGCAGTGTCCAATAATGCAATGTCTGATTTCTGACAACAGCATGTCAATGTATTTGTGTACGAGATGGGTCTACAAGAGCGAGACTTGACCAAACAGGCCAAGATTGATTTCCTTACATTGGCATCAACTGAATGGACTCATGTTGGTAAATTTGCTGATCTATTATCGGTATGTTGCCTTCATCATTTGATATTGTGCTGCCGCTGATTTAATATTTCAGTATGCAGACGTTGCCCAGCAGGCCTTTTCGTCAGAATCAACTACTACACTACATCTTGCTATCCCTGCGCTCGAGACTCTCCATCGAGCTTGGACTTCGCGTGTAGAACGGTCCAAATATTTACATTTTGCACCAGCATTGCATGCCGCTGCACAAAAGCTCGATGAGTATTACGAGAAGACCACTGACTCCCCGGCCTATGTCCTGACTATGTGTATGTTCTCCTTGTTTCATTTACCATGTATCCATGATGCTCATGTTCCATGCAGTGCTTGATCCGATGGGTAAAATGTTGTACTTCAAGAAGAACTGGCCCGAGGATTTGCAAGACGAAGTTCTTGCTTGCGCGGAACGAGTGGTATATTGGACAAAGTTATTCACCAGCTTACAATCACTTACAAGTCATGTAGTTTGAGGCTCGCTATCTTGAATTGGGCCAGGCAGCATCCATGTCGCAACCTTCACTTGTCAAGAAAGGCAAAGCTAGCAGACTCAAGAAGTTAATTCGCGAGGCGCAGAGCTCCGATGAAGATGACAATGACGAGACTGTTGTCACTCATACAGATCCATCTAGACCATGGTATGCCAGTTTTAAAAACTATGTTGATGCTGTAGAGACAAAACCTCCGCCGGGAATGAGCATAATTCAATGGTGGGGTGTAAGTACACATCCAAGTCTATCTTGTCTCAATACTGACCAGTCTTTGTTGTAGATTAATGGACACAGATATGGCCCAGTATGGACCTTGCTAGCTCGCGACTACCTCTCAATTATGGCATCGTCAGTTTCGAGTGAGTGTGCGTTCTCACAGGGTGGCATTACCATTAGCAAGTGCCGCAACTGCCTCAAAGGTGACATTGTTGAGGCCCTACAGTGTGTCAAATGTGCCCTTTGCCACCATCTACTCTTCTGCGCGCCTGGACCCTCATCATCAACTGAGGAAGCTCTCAAGGACTCTGATATTGAAATGGATGCTAACGAGAAGCTGAGTGATGTCGAAGATGGGGATGAGGAGGGCTGGGATGCTCTTCTGCAGGGAGACGAGGATTTTGTAGAATCAGATGCTGACTCCATGATGTAAATTATCTTTTGAACGTGTTTCTTCATTTTCAGTACTTGGGCTGCAGCTCAGGCCAAAGCCGAGCCAAAGCCAGCCATCACTGGCGGCTTTGGCCTGGCCTGGAATTTTCGAAAGCCCAAGCCATCTGAAGCCGGGCCAAAGCTGCGGCTTTCGAGCCAAGCCAGGCCGGAACATCACTAGAGCTGGCCAGTACCTGCCCTGTGTGCTCGGCCGGGGTTCCTATACGACCATGTATAAAAGTGCTGGCCAGTACCTGCTCTATGTGCTCGGCCAAGGCTCTTATATGTCCATGTATACAAGTGCTGTGTTAAGACCATGCACAAAGGGTAGGACTGATTCTGAGGGGCTTGGCTTCAGCTTGTGCGCTGCGCCCCTTACCCGAGTATGTGCCCTTAATTTCAGATTGGTGTCCGAGGAAAGTCCGAAGACGTCCAAAGGACATCCGAAGGCGCGGGAAACTTCGGAAGGACTTTCCGGATGGGTGCAAGTAACTTCCGGATGAGTGCGGGAAAGTTCCGGAGGAACTTCCGGAAATTACAATGAGGTTTTGTCCTGATACGGATATGTATAATGGCTACTCGGGACTTGTCCTGAGTAGAAGTAAACAGAGGAAAGGCTGCAAGGACAAAGTCCGAAGCAGAATAGGTCCGGAGGACCGCGGGAAAGATCCGGATGAACTTCCGGAAACTACAGAGGATCGGATGAGCGGATGAGCGGAGTATCGGATAAGCAGAGCTCCGGCCTAGGGAGAAACTCCCTAGGCCTGAGATGGATAACAACTAAGTTGGAAGACTAGAACTGATATGAGGACTTAGAGTGAAGACTAGTGCGAGGACTAATATGATATTCAGACTGAGGTACTACAAGACATATACACAAGTTTATATACTAAGAGAAATAATGGAAGGATCAATAAGCAGAGTCCAAGGCTATGTACAAAGCATATGCAAAGGTTGACAAACACGAGTCGGAAATGAACATGGGTTAACAGATCAGTAAGCATACCGGTAATAAATATAACCGAGGTACTGGTAACAAGGAATACCGGATAGGCTGTGTTAACGTTATATGCACAGGAAATGAATTATGAAGCTTATCGTATATCAGATAGGAAACAGATCTATACATCGGATCGGACCGGATCGGATATGGTCTGGATGAGATGCGTGGATATATAGGATGTGGCATTAGGGCGATGGGACAAGGATGAATGATGCAGGCTAGCTGCGAAGGATAAGGGATCTGGACGTGGACATGCGGATGTGGATGTGCAGAGGTGCAGGGATCCGGATGGGTACTGGAGACATGGATAGCACATCCGAAGGTCCGGATGAGGCGTGGGAATATTATCGGATGTAGGTCCGGAATACGGGATATGACATGCTGGCCGGAGGATGTGTCCTCACTGAGCTGGCCCCTGCCCTACCACAGTTGGCCAGTACTCCTATACATAGGTGTATGAGCAGGGCTGGCCAGAGGCTGGGTCCTGGTGAAGCTGGCCAGTGCCTGCCCTATGTGCTCGGCCGAGAATCCTATACGACTGTCCATAAGAGTGCTGGCCAGAGGCTGTGTCCTGCCCTACATGGCTGGCCAGCACCCTTATATGTGGTCGTATGAGCAGTGCTGGCCGAGCACTTGTATATGGAAACATCGGCCAGTCCTAGCTCTACACACTGCCTGAGTGGTCACACAGGCTACATACCTTGCGGGTTCAAGGTACACTGGCTGTGCCTACCTCTACACACCGGCCAGCCACATATCTACCTGGACAGGCCAGTACTGGCTGGGACACATTCTACAGCCTTTTGGCACATCCGGGGCACCACTTCTACGTCCAAAGTGACTGAAGGGTCTGACTCAGTACAGTAGTGCTCCTTCTTTAGAGTCAAAATTTACCACCGCAACCCTCACTTCGATCCAGCATTCCCTTACTACTCATGCATCTCCCTCCACCTCCGCCAATCTCTTCAGATTTATCCATCTACTCGAGCTGCAGCTTTGTCAAAGATCGTGTGGAGTGCCTCTCTTCTGCTGAATTTCAGTGGCATCGTCCCACGAGAGTGGTCGAGTGATACAGTTCTAGATGGCTATAACACTTTTTGGTTGAACTCGTATCTAGATAGATAAACTTTCTGTATCTTCAAATAAGTCTCGATAATTCCATTGTACATTATTGTCTTTTAGCCGTTTTATTCCTAATACTTGAAATTAGATAGAATTATCAGAATAACATCGTTTAGATCAATTTATTAAAATTTTCGCCTGGGAGGGTTTCCCTGATGCGTATGAGCAAGAGCCATGCTGATCCAAGTTGTCGCCCACCGTTTGCAGGATGTGAGTGTGCCGATCCTCATTCGAGCAACATCCATGCTGATCTATGTTGTTGCCCACCTTTCACAGTCTGTGAGTGTGTCTGTCATTGTTAGAACCAGAACCATGCTGATCCAAGTCGATGCCCACCGTTTGCAGTTGGTGAGCGTGTCGATTGTTGTTTGAGCCAGAACCATGCTGATCTAAGTCGTTGCTCACTGTTTGCAGAGAGTGAGTTTGTCAATCCTCATTTGAGCAAGAGCCACACTGAATCAAGCCATTGCCCGCTGATCCGATGATAGCAAGTCAGTCCATTGATTCTTTGTCAAGTTCAACCATCTCTGACCAACACAATTGATCATCTATCATCAGCAAATGTATGAGTCCTTGAAAGTGTACCCGTCGCAGCTGTAGGATGATGTAATTCTGCTCCTACCGAATATGACTATGTATACCACAAGAAATTTGCCTTGATCATACTTAGCCATGGATGGTCACCAACATAGACTTGCTAGATGAGACCATGACAAAATCGTAACAAGCAGCCTTTGCAGCCAGCAATGGGCGGAAGCTCACTAGTGTTGACGTCGCTGATCTTTCTCAGTTCCTATCAAATATTGCTTTGATTTTAATGTTATCTAAGACTTTCTGCAGGACAACAGCTTTAGCCCTCAACAACAAATAGAGATTGGCTTGACACTTAGTAACAAAATTGTAACACGCTATCTTCGTAACTAGTAAGGGACGGAAGCTCACTAGCATTGACGTCACTGATCTTTCTCAGTTCCTATCAAATATTGCTTTGATTTTAATGTTATCTAAGACTTTCTGCAGGACAACGGCTTTAGCCCTCGACAACAAATAGAGATTGGCTTGACGCTTAGTAACAAAATTGTAACACACTATCTTTGTAACGAGTAAGGGACGGAAGCTCACTAGCATTGATGTCACTGATTGTTCTCAGTTCCCATCAAATATTGGCTCGATTATAATGTTATTGAAGACTTTTCGCAAGACAACGGCTTTATGCTTCCGAGTTCACTTGTCGACGTTCCACCCGCAGCAATGCAGATATACTGTGGCTGTGACACTTCTTATTGTGTAGATACGCGTCGGTATCTGCGCTTTCCGTAGCTGTGAAAACGATGCGCATCAACGCTGGTGTATGCTTTTCAATGCATTGACTACTGGATAGAATTCCGTAGATTTGAATATAACTGTGTATCCCTTTGATATTTTGCTGGCTTCGACGCAAATATACGGAAATCGATGCATTGCAACATGACATACAATACAAAACATGGGAATAAAATCTACCCGCGCTCATTCGCGCTAGCTCCTCCCTCTAGGATTGTCCTACCCCGGTGCCCGGCTAATGAAACGTGCCGCTAGAGAACTTTGCAGGGACTTTGACCGTATTTGCGGACGACATGCGGTCAGTAACCTAGATGGAATACACAAATGAGCATACATTAATAGGAATAGGATGAGTACTTACCAGATTCGAAGCTTCAATGTCATAGTTCTGTAACAATAAGAATAGAGCACGATGAAATGAATGAAAATGATACCGCTTGACAGCATTCGTGGTATTTATTGGTGCCCGAACCATAACGAGCAGAAGTCCTCTTGATCCAAAACCTAGGCTGATAACAGATCAGTGAATCAGAGTAGCAGTACTGAAAACGAATGTACTGGTGTGGCACGAGACATGTCAGGTACTAGAAGATTGAGTTGAATGACTCGGAGTGGTTATATGCGCCCTGTTTCGAACGTTTTCATCTAGTATTGACACGACCAAGGCAAAAAAACTCACATCATTTGAGTCGTCGTGACGAGGAAGAAAGGTATGAGAGAATTCAAGGTAGGCGGGCGACGAGTAAGTCAGTCGACAATAGTAATAATGCACTGATGATGGTGAGAGGAGAGTTCATTAAAACTCCGAGTCGCAGGCAAGTGGACTTTTGAAGTTGGTTCGAGTGTGGCGAAGTACGAAATACTTGAGCAATAAGATATATATTACGCACGGACCTTCAATTGAACATGTTGACAGTTGAATTGCACAAGCTTGGATTCTTGCAGTATTGAGCATGCGCTGTAAGGCTGCTCAATTGCAAATCAGATTGTTTGACTTAGATTTCCGTCGATGAGTCTAGACACTCTACTGACTACCCGGAACTTACAAATCCGTCGACCTCCGTGGAAATGGCCCATGATGTCGGACTTTCACTGGGGTTCAGTATTAGAGACACAGGATCGAAAACACGTGCATGACTTGAAGCTTGAAGAGAGACTGTCATGGTGATGGTAAACGTTTGGCTACCGATACGTCAGATGTTAAATTCTACGACATACTAGGCGTCTATCTGGCAAGCATGCCAGTTCTCCACAACACTGCGACATATCACAATCACTCAAGGGAACGAAAGCTACTCCAGATGTGCTGGTTTCGTTGAACTACTGGTACAAAAATGCTTACATGATGATTAGTACGGGCAGACGACGTGCTTTGCAATTAATATGTCAAGCGCTCCCTGCTGCGCCAGGCTCATATTGTCGAAGCGCTTCTCCAAACCTGTGTGATATGCCTGCCAGTCATCCACAACAAAATCGCTGGCAGTAAAGATGCCACTGGAGCGCTCCCCCAGCGCCCACCGGAATATAGTGCCTGTCATCAAGAACAGCGGTCGCAACTTGTCGCGGGTCATGGGGACGCCTTTCCCGAGGTATCGATCGTACCCGAATTTGCTGTCGTAGGTGATGTACATGATAAACTGCAAAACGGGGGTGCTGCCGAATGGGACGGTGACGAAGTCCCCATTAATCTAAAGACACTGCGCGTCAGTTTGATTTCAGACGGGAAACACATCACTCACGTTAACGGTAACGTCGAGGAACTTCTCATCGGTGATGAGGTCAATGGTTTGATGCGCACGGACTTCAACGGCCGTGAGGATCTCCGTCGCCAAAACGGCGCCGCCCAAATCGTACTTGAAATATACGAAATGTCGTCCTACTTCTTTCAAATCGTTACGCATACTTTCAACTAAATTGACGAGCTTCTTTTCTCCGGCAGCAGCAGCGTTTCTTGCGAGATCCCGGAATTCAACTGATTTGAACGGAACATTGTGAGCACGACTGTCCGGCGGCAGTTCAAGAAGATACTCACCTGGTTGGCTCTCGACGGTAGTGGTCCATGCAGTCGTCGCCTTGGCGGCGATGTCATCTTTTGCGGGAAACAAGGACGACCGTAAGAGTAGTGATTTCATCGTGTCTTTCGCCTGCGACGCGACTGACGTGGTGTTGAACGGTACTACACTAAGAGTCGGTTGCACGGGCGTCGTTGTGAGAAGCTGAGTGTTGAGTTGCCTTGCGGCTTCTCCCCTTTCTATTCCTGTCCGTCTGGACATACGCGAGGTCCTTGAGCGAGTTGTCCCGCTGGATCGTGCCCTGCGGAGGCGAACAGACATGAGGGGAGCGTGAGATTGACGTATTTCGTCATCGACGATATCCGATGGAGGTGGTAAGTAGATGGTACCGAGCGGTGCGTGGGGTTGGGCCGAGTCCGCGTTGGCTGTCTCAGGAGTTCTAGCGGGTAAGTGATGGTTGAGTAAGGTGGCGCTGGACGATGGCACGGGAAGTTGAGACAAGTTCGGCGATCCGTGACTGGAATCAACGGGATCATGGTGATCAGAGAATGTGGGGTGCCATGCCTCAAGGAAAGCTCCTGGAGTAAGATCGTCTTCATGAGACTCCCATGCCTCAGCGAATGCAGGCGGGATCTTGGATTCATGAACGTGAAGGTAAGGAGGGGGATATGGGATGGGAGAGTATAGTATGCCCTGACCTGAGGCCTGATAGTGCTGATCAGGGAGGTTGGGGGGAAATTGGCCAGCCCATGGAAAACCAAGGTTCTCGCGATGAAAATCAAGAGTGTCGTTAGTGGTTGGGGATGCTTCCTGGTCGCGATAGGCGGCCAATGTCGAGTCCCAAGGTTGGACATCAGTGAACATGCTGATAGATGCGAAGAAAACAAGTGAAAACTCACCTTGGACCCATGGCACGACGTGGGCACGTGCAATTAATCACTGAATCCTTCCAAGTCGATCTTTCTGCGTGCGGCAGGAAGCAGGACCGTTTAACCGCGCAACCGTACATCACGTGATCGTGAGTTCCGGCTGCCTTCCAAGTGTCCATTTGCTTGTCGTCGAGCTGGGAGCGTATGATAACGTCGATGAAAGTAACGAGGAGTATTGGCTCATTGACGACGCAGTCATGGTTTCCTTCAACGACGACACCTAAGCATGGGATGTTGGACACAGCCATAGATGATGAAGGTACGAGTACAACAGAAGAAGCTTAGTAATACGTAGAATAATGAGTAATGTAGGGAATGACTAATCACCGGTAATGTCCGAGACGGACATTATTTGTCATCGACTCGCGGACTATAGACAAGTCCGGATTTGCTGGTGCGTTATTCCTATCTCCTTCATTGAACTAACAAATCTTCGGTCCGAAATCCGCGCTACATATAGAAAGTCTATTTAAACTTAGTTATAATTAGAGTTGATATGGTTACTCGGTTCGGGAGCGCGCTCGGAAGCGCGCCGCATAGTGTAATCTCCATTCTTAAATAGAGAAGGGAATCTTTGGGGTTCTGGTACTTACTTTCCCCTTATCTTTGTGTACTGGAAAGTGTATAGATCACCTCCTCACTTGATATCTGATCTGATTCTCCTGTCAACCATCCATCTGTGCATCCACTCTTCAAATAGGGCCTTTCCCTTAACGTTCTAGGCGCGCCTTCGCTTCACGCACGCGCATTCTCGAACCTCCCACTCACTTGTGCATCTCGCGCACCTTCACCTCACGTATGCGTGCCTTCGCGCGCGTTACCTTCTCGCACTTGCTAGCGCCTGCCTAGCTCATACAGTCTCCCTCCATTTTTATTTCGAGGAACTTCACATATACACGGTCCGGGTACTTACATTTAGCGTACCTTATTATATATACTGTAGCATTATTTCAAGTAGAAATTCAGTCAATTTAATTATCTCAAAGTTTTCATTAAATCTACACTAAAGTTTACATGGGGGGCATTTCCAAGGCAAACGGAGGATGCATAAGTATGTAACACATTACGGTGTCGAGCGTGAGCACGACAGTGCCTCACTTTTTTGTCTCACGAGTAATCGACTGACGTGATGTGTCGTAACTGACTGGAAGACTCGAAATCGAATTACTGAGACGACAGGCAGCGTATATTAATAGAATAATACAACAGGGTAAATGATATCGTTTGCAACTTACATTGCTGTAAAATGAGATAAAAATCTGAATGGTCCTAATATACACCAAAATCCACGCACTGTGTTGAAGCACAGCTTTTGCCCGTTCTCTCCTTCGGACATCATCCAGAATTCCCATAACGTGTCTGTCTAGCATGTCGACGTACGGCTTGAGACTTGTATGCTCCCAGTCTGAATCAAAATGTAAGTGAAAACAACGGGCACAGTGACAAGCGGTGCACTCACTTGCACCCTCGCCTGCCTTGTCAAGCTCTTGAAGGAGCTGCATAACTGTGGGAACTGCATTGGGGTCGAAATTTTCCACGCGGTTCGGGTCAACGGGGACGCAGACACAGAATGGTACTTTGAGAAGATGGTTTCGGTGCTTGGATACTTCGGCATCTAGGCGTGGATTGCAGAATGATGTCCTCAAGAGTGGCTAGATTTCAGGCCTATGAAGCTGTCAGTAATAGCATAGATAGTAAAAGTGAAGTGTATACAACATTACCCTGCCTTCAGCTCGTTCCATTTCTTCGACGATTCGATACCGGGTTATTTCTCCCATCGCTCCTCGAGAGTCTCGACAATTTTCTTGTCCGGAACCAGTTTAAGCAGTGTTCGCCAGCCGTCCTCAGGATAGGAAGCATTCTTGATTATCCAACAATTGATACCACATCCTACTCCCTTCATCGCAGTGCATGTCACAGAGGAGGTGGCAAATCTCCAGGGTGGCTCTTCGTGCCACGCCTCTTACATTCACCTTCTTCGCCATCTCCTTACCTCCTTCTATCACAGTAAGCGCCCCAACCACAGCTCTACATAGTTCGTCGGTCAGCCCCATGGCCTAGTCATCACTGACCCACAAATAGATGCCGCGACGGCCCGAGTATACCCATAACAAATGATGATATCCAAATTGCGTGCGCAAGGCTGAGTCAAGGACGCGCACGGCTGTTGGCGATGAATGCCCAGCAGCGTTTACATATTCCTGCTGATGTGCAGCATGTGCGCACGCCGTCATAATCAGTCATATCGATATCGAACACCAGCTCGCGCTTTAACGGGGTGAAGAGCTTCCCAGACTTTACAGACCGCGCCAATTTCCGCTCGCTTGGTTGGCATGTCGTCAGCGTAAGTGCCAGGCAGATTGAAAGATAGCTCACCCGAGATGAGTACATGGGCCCGATCTCAAAACACGTCGGATTGAGTGCGCCCAGATGCAAAAAGATTGTTGCTGTACTTCTTTGTTGAACGCGAACTCGGTGACGACGATGAAGTAACAGATGAAGCTGGGTATGTGGTTGAAGAGGTCGTGGTGGATATATGAGAGGTACGCTCATGGGTGTAGTCGGATTCCATTCCCAGGTCAGTCGCATTAGCACCAGAAATGCCCTCAAGTTTCCTGCTTGAAGTGGTACTGGGCGCAGCATTTTTGGTACGCATCCGCCCCAGCGTCTCAAGGATCATGTCCTCTTCCTCCTCTGATATTTGGCTTGGCACACCACGGGCTCTCTGTTCCGCAAACTTAAACCTGAGATCGTCAAGTGTAAGAGGATCACCGGAGGAGGAGCGAAGAAGCGTGAAACGGCGAGTAAGACTGGGAACCTGTATTGTGAGAGAGTTGTAAGGTTGACAAGACAGGTCTGTAACGCACTCTGGCAATATGAGTGACGTCCGAAAGTCACTAGCAGGTGGGAGTGCTAGTAATTGCTTGTGCTCAGATGTTGGTGTGAACCAGTCTTCATCAAAAGGGTGAACTTCTGGTAATAGGGTCAGACCTTTTGCTAAGGCACATCAACAATAAAAGGTAAAGTGAAGAAGCTGCAGCAGTGAGGTGACAATATATATGATACGCGAATGAGGCTTGTAATTGAAAAGGTAGAGAGCAGCAGGCTCACTGGAAACGATGCATGGCTTTTGCTGACAGGAATCCTCATTTAGTACATGAGGCAGGGCGCTTGAATTATTGGATCTCGCACACCTGCTTGCTTTCTGAGTTCTTCTGCATTCGAAAAGCAGTTATAACGTAGATATATGTCTCCCTGGAGAGTAAATGCAAATTCGCGGTTTGTAAACAAATCTTTTGGTGGGTGTTCCTGTTTGAGTCATGTGAAGATGGATTTGAAAGGGCACAGCATGTGGTAAAACTGGAGCATCACTTTCGGAGATGTCTCTGCAGAGTCGGCCATTGTTGAACAAAGGAATAGCAACTAAGTGTTATGTTGCTATCAATCAACATGTACACTGTTAACCGTTGATAAATTTGAGTGACACAAAGCACGTGAGGAAACGTCATGCGGGTATTAAGTCACACACTGCAGTGCCATGAGGCATAGTACGTGACACTGAAACTTGTAGTTTGGAAACAAAACACCAGATGGACATGAAAATGGTATACCGTATCAGTGAATATTCTGGGTATTCACGTCTAAGCTTTTCAGTACGTAACATAGCGTCTTGCGTATCATATATGGACTGGCTGCAAATCTCGAAACGAATGGATCAAGTCAATACGACTTATGTGCACTTCACATGCGAGAGACCGAGCAACCAACATAACTGCAAGATGACCAGTTAATATTATATTTGTAACAGAAGCAGAAGTGAATATTGTCATTATGATCGGGATGTGCATTCACCGTTGGACCATTCAACGCAGCTCGCCCCCGTTGTTTCATCGATATTGTCCATCATGTATCGGTATGATTTAGCGGCATCTTGAAGTTTACCTGCCCGAAGGAGTGTATGACAACGTTTCTGGTGTGCAGTAACCCACAATGATTTGAGATCCCAGTTGAAGAGCTGGACAAGGGACTCGGTTATGAAAAGGATTTCGGATGTATTTTCACACACCACCACCAAATCCTCATACATAAAATGAATAGGTGAGTTCGATGAGAGAGCGCTCGAGTTGAGAACAGCAGTAAAATGGTGAGCAGCTTCTTCATAATGTGCATCATCTAAGGAAGAGAAAGTAGACTGCAGGGCAAGATATGAAATAAAACAGATCAACGAAAAATGATCAGACAACAGCATGATTGTTTGGCCAACGAAGGGACTGAGAATACTTTGAGATTTGATAGGAGACCCACCTCAGAAAATCCATCCCTCTTGCAGTCACATCGCTGGTCACCAAAATCGCACCCTCTGGGGCATCGCAGAACTCCTGTGCAGCGTGTGTATGCGCAGCCTGTGACATACGGCTTTGGATCTGGTAGATTGGGGGAAGCATAGATTGTGGCCCAGCAGACACTTGTTGCAAGACACTCATGACAACGGCCATTCCATGTGCCGTTGTACAAAACAACATTGCTTTGCTTGCAGACCTGCCTGCTTGAGGAGGGAAACAAGTGTCGGAAGGATATCTTCGAGGGGTGTTATGAGGTAACTCTGGGGAACTATGTTACATATGTGTCACTTTGTTATTTCATTGATAGATTATGGAAAAGATGCACACACCATGTTCGTGTGTGTTGATCTCGTCCGCGTGGAGCGTAGATATGAATTTATAATTTGGATCTAGGTAAATCCTTGCAATCTACTCCCCAAAACAATCAGTGCCTGTTATTCTTACACAAAAAACCCACCCACCTTCTTGATTGCATTGTCAAAAGTTGCAGAAAATAGCATAGATTGTCATCTTGTTCCCCGTCTATCAGGCAAGAATCCCAGAATGTGTTCTAGATCCTTGCAAAATCCTTGATTGAGTAGCCTATCTGCCTCGTCAAGAATGAGCACAGTTGGGCGGAGGGCTAGCCCCGAAGTCAGATGGTCGAGGAGCCGACCGGGAGTGGCATTTAGGATGTCGGTGCGAGCAGTGGGAGAGTTAAGACGGGTTTTCTCTGTGTTTATGCTGCAAGTGTTAATATATATCATGATATGCAGCAAAGAATGGGAAAGATTGCCCACCTCTGATAACAGACTGCACACCGTATGGGTGGTGTGCAAGAAGGGACATTGCCTCTTCCTCAATTTGAAGCACAAGCTCTCATGTAGGCGCTATGATAACAAGAATCTTGCCCACGTCGGAGGAAGCTGATCTGGAGGAGGCAAGCCACTCTATGGCAGGCGGAAGGAACGAATGCACCTCAACTCGAGGGTCTACAATTAACAGATTCTGAGTTGAATGCGCAGATATGCCTGATGTGCGAGTTGCAAAGATAATGACCAAGTGCGGATGCTACTTACTTGCACGACATCACACGCGAGAGCATCGGCATTATTCAGACAACCAGCAGCGAGTTCTTTGAGGAGCAGAATGGCCTTGTCATGTTGATCTGCATTAAAGAGGACAATGGCCTAAAATATACGATGAAGCAGAAAGTATGCGAGGCAAATATAACGTACTTTGATCAAGAGCAGGAAATGGTGGATTGGTGGATCTTGGCCAGTGTATATTGATGCAACATCAAATGCTGCCCTTGCATCCTGGAGGGCATGGTCCCATTTGTGTCATCGAGCCATCACAAATGACCGATGGGCATAGGAAGTATGGTTGTTGGCATCAGTGTTGATATCTAGCATGAGTAGTTTTTCAGCGGTAGACAAGTGCCCATCTCAGATGCATGCAACGCGGGCTGTCGTGATGGCCAGGATCTGCACAAAACATGCTCGAATTGTGGCATATGAGTCAAGGACGGAAACATGCCTTCAGATGAATACCCAGACTCGGAAGTACTGCCCACTCTGAGATCACCTTATCTTTACCTCCACTGAGGATGTAATTGCTGTCCACGGAGAAAGTGATGCAGAACGGCGTAGGTGAGTGCTCGAAGGTGGCAACAGTTCGTCAGTCTGAGAGCCACCAGGGACGGACATGATTGTCACGAGATGCAGATGTGACAAGTTTGCCAGTAGGATGAATGGCAATGCCATTGACAGAGTCAGTGTGACCGGTCCAGGGATTGCCGACCTGCTTCCAGGTTGTTGTATCCCATTCGCGTATGGTGGGATCAGAACCACCGCCACCTGTAAGAAGGCGAGTGCCATCGGGCGTCCATGCAAGTGACAAGTTGAACGTGTGAGCCTCATTGAAGATTGTGATGTGTTCCCTCGTGCCTGAATTATAAATTTAAATATTCTTGTTTGGGGCGGTGGCAAGAAGTTCTCCAGAGGGCGAATACCATACACAGCGAATCATTCCATGGGAAATAAGTCAAGGAAAGATGAATTTGCAAGCACACTAGCACTATTTGCTTCGCAAGCTTTTGCACTTGGATGGATGGACGAAAAATTTAATGCACACAGGGGGTTCATGAAGTTACTAAATAGGATGTGTATCATTTGGTCGTCGCACAACATATTTTGTATGGTAGAGTCGGTCGCATTCATCTCAAAGTCGCTAGATTTTCACAAATACTAAGTCCTGCAGTCGATGTATGTGTCGTTGGCCGCCTTGTCCCACAGCTGACCTGGAACGTCGTGCAGAGCGATTTTGGGAACATGAAAATTGCGAGTACCTCCTAGTACTACTATACATAATGTTTTTCATGGTCATGTGAACCTGCGAGTCGATGCCGAGGCAAGTGATCAGCAAATGAACAAGTGCTTTTATTATAACTGAATTCGGACCTACCTCAAAAAGAAAGGTTATCATCCTCATCTACTTCTCCTAGGTCATCGACCCAATCGTCAGACTCTCCTGCATCTTCCTCACTCTCCATGTCATCGCCTTCATCCTCTGGCTCCTCATTGTCTTGAAGGTCGACATGCATATGCTGTTCATCATCATCTCCGCAGCCCTCATCATCACTTCTGCTTTCATTGATATCTGTTGCCTCCACTGGCGCTCTTGACCGAGAGCCAAAACAATCTCTGACAGTGCTCCGCGAAGTTATCGGGTGTCCTACGCCCAGGTCAGTATAACACAGGAACATATCGCGATCGACAAAACTAATGTTGATTAATGTGAGTCATCCATCCACAAGAAGAAAAAACATTGGACGCACATTCTGACATAGTATTCTTCCCAGTCATCTAGTTCCCCAATGGGACGTGCTAACGATTTTCCATGGCGGAGAGAGCCTACGCCACGCTCAGAAGCAAACACGGGGATCAAGTGAGCTCCCCAGATCACTTGACCTGGATCAAGAAATCCAAAGGTGTCATAATCAGACTCCTCCACAAATGCCACTTTGGGAAGGCGAGCGCGCTGCATGCCAGACTGGTGTGATTTTATTGGTGCGAGCCATCTGACGTAGAGCACCTTGAGGTGCTGTGAGATCTCACTCCCTTCGAGCCATGTGTCCAAGTGATATATACCCAGTATATGAGTGTACCAGTATGGGTGGCTCAAAGTACTTTCGCCTGAAAGCACCATCACATCTGCATGTGTCCTTGTGTTGATGGTATCATATTCGCGTCGCATGTCGTACGTCGTATAGTGTATTTGCATAGTCTGAGCTGAGTAAACCACATTATTTGGAATGATAACTGAGTTGCGTTCCTCAGCCGTGAATGTGTGGTCGCAATGGCCAATATCCAACTTGTTCAGCCTATACAAAATGTGATCTTTCAATCGTGGAATGAAGTTCTGAGAGCGGTATAAACAAACTGGCGCCCAAGAGTACAATAAAAGTTTACCTTAATAGCCGGATCACCGTTGTGTTCCTGAAGAAATCCAAATAATGAGACTGGATTGTTCTGACTGGCTGCAATATAATGATGGTCTTTTAAGTTGGATAACAGTGGAGCAGGGGAATCGGCCAGAGACTCATTACTCAAGGAGGAAATGCCTGCTGCCTCCTCGACTCGCCGAAGTACATGGCGCCTGCATTCGTGCTTTGCAAGCTGTGCTGAAGTGTCGAGTTTGTTTGTTAGCGGATAGAACACTTTTAAGGCTCTGTGCGCCAGCTCTCCCTAGGCAAAACTTCATAAGTGTCTTTGAAAAGTAGGAGACAGACAATGCATACAATCTGAGTGGTGAAAGAATCAGTAGTCCCAAAGAGTTTGATGGTATACACATAATCTCCCATTGCATGAAACTTGTATCACTGCGGGCATTTTCTCATTTTCCTCCACCAAACATCCAAAAAACATTGAATTAGAAGATAGAAATTTCTTTTTATTGTGTGTATCAAAACATTGAAAAAAAATAATGAATGTATTGAAGATTTTCTGTATGCAAGACATAATCTAAAAATGAGTCATTTTCCCTCAAGAAACAGTCTATATTTTTTATTCATCATTCCTCAAATAACAATTTACAATCATGTCAATTTTTTGGCCTCTGTTTTTCCAATGTTCTGTGTATCAAAAATCTCAATTACTTCATCCTGTTCACCATATGTTTGATCCAAGAACATTGAAAAATCATATAACAAATAATAATAAATATTTTGACAATGTTTTGTTAAGGAAAAGCAAAGAAACTTTCAAACTTTCATTTGTATATTTGATCAGAGGAAATTTATGAAACATGCCCCATGTTTTGTAAGAATAAATACATAATGTTTGCAGTATATTCCTCCGGCACAACACTTAAAAAACATTTATTATGTTCAGAGAAAAAAAATGAAACATGATTGCAGGATACTCTGCCTCAGAACATGCACAAATTATACATTGTTTTCTGCACACAATAGGTGGAAAATACAGCATTATCCTTGAAGGAACATGATGAATTTTTGCATCATGTCCCACACACAGAAAATCATTGAAACATAAATTATTATTTTTTCAATGTTTTGACAGACAAAATGAAGGTACACTGGTCCAAGTAGTGCTGCTAAGAACCAAGAACCATTCGGCGGGGAAATGAGAACAAAATGGTGTGACAATATAGAAGGGTTTTTTGAGAAGATTTTTAGTAATGGTGAAGCGATGAGTATAGAGGCAAGGTTGAGAGTGGGGGCGCAAGTGCCAAACCTGGGTCCAGTTCTACCAGAGTCGACAAACCCTGGATTGAACCTTTGCAAACTGTTCAGAGTGGTCATGTTTGGTTTTTTTGGGGTTCAAATGTGAACCATCCATGTCACAAGCCAACAACTGGACTGCTTGGTGCAGCACTGAGGCAGTCATGTACTAAATACACCAACTGCAGTTTCACAGGCAGAAAGAAATGCAAATTAATGCCAAGTGATGTCAAGGAGCAAAAGCAGCTGGTTGTGCATAAGAAAGGCTGACTTAAAGGATTCATCAATTTTCTGTGTCCCATGGGCCATGACATGTGTAAGGATTGTCTATCCTCTACACACGGCCCGCACCTCAAAAAGGAAATCTGAGAACTGTCATTCACAAAGTCCACGTGACTCACGGATGCGAGAAAGCTCTACACTTTGCATCCGAGTTATGTGGATACATTCTCTCACTTCTCCATTCTCTCTTTTTCCGTTATCTTACCTTGTGCTCAAACTTCACGATACCCTTGTTTCACCAAAGTATTTTCACCTCGCCATATGCTCCCCATTCTTATTTCAGCCTAGTAAAGTACTTGAAAATGTATTTATACTGCTCATGTACACTCATAACAACAGCAGAATCATATGTTGGTTCCCTGCTCAAAGCAAACTTTGCTCTACAGAAAGTCTTAGCCTCTCGAAATGTTTCGTCTTCACACTTGCACCCCTACTCTCAACCTTGCCTCTATACTCATTGCTTCACCATTACTAAAAATCTTCTCAAAAAACCCTTCTATATTGTCACACCATTTTGTTCTCATTTCCCCGCCGAACCAAAACCAGCCTTACACATGCAAGATCCAACAAACAGCGGGCATTTGTATTGTATCACTATGTGGTACATTGTTCAATTGTTAAAGAAAGTCGCCATGAAAAGCCTGAATGTATGGCACCACAAGCAGAGAGCGGTTCATAATTCAGCTTTTGTGTCCACATTTGACAAGCCCCTGATGTGGTACATGGAGTCTCCCACTCATTCAAGACCCATGGCATCAGTAAATTCACACATTCCTTAATCTCCTTAATCAGTTTATCTCACTTGTCCCAAAACTTGTTTGCTCTCTCTTGCATCATTCACCTGGCATGTTTCATATTTTTTTAGTGTGAAATATAATAAAACATGTATGTTAATATACATCAACAATTTTTTTCTCTTGCAATGTTGGACAAGTAGATCCACCTTTCGCCAAGACACTTAAGTGTAAATAAGTGTAGATAAGTCTGTTTAAGGACAAATTAAGTAATAATTTCCTGATGACTGGATGGGCGGAGGTGCATGCACCATTATACTGGAGATGTATCCATCTTCCGAATGCAGGTCGATCGGCAGAATCAACACTGTCGGGATCAGAGCCAAGCCCAGCACTGCTGGCAACGGACGAACGCGGAAAAAAAGAACGAAACGCGAGGACAAACGGACAAACGCGAAAAAAAAAACGCGGACAAACGAGTGAACGCAAGGGCAGACGAGGGAACGCAAGGGCAAACGCGACGAAAAGAAGCGGACAAACAAGACAAACGCGAGGACAAACGGACAAACGCAAAAAAATGCGGACAAACGAGTGAACGCACGGGCAAACGCGAAAAAACACGCGGACAAACGAGCGAACGGGCTGCTGATCACGATCCACATTATTGGAATAGTTGGGGCAGTAGGGCCAGGCACCCTCTTGAGGTGGGAGGTAGCTAGGGTCCCTGGTTTTCAAACGAGTCAATGCAAGGACAAACGAGTGAACGCACCGGCAAACGAGGGAACGAGGGGACAAACGAGTCGACGCGAGGACAGACGAACGAACGCAAGGGCAAACGAGTGAATACGGGGACGAACGAACGAACGCGAGGACAAACGCGGACAAAATAACCGGGAGGACGTTAGCAACATAGTGTGTTATAGCCAAACGCGAAAAAAACACGGACACACGAGTAAACGCAAGGGCAAATGAGTAAACGCGGGGACAAATGAGAAAAATGCGGACAAACGAAGGAACGCAAGGACACACGAAGGAACGCGAAAAAAAAACACGGACAAACGAGGGAACGCAAGGGCAAACGAGGGAACGCGGGAACAAAAGAGGGAACGCGGGGACAAATGAGTAAACGCGAGGATAAACGCAAAAAAAATGCGGACAAACGAGGGAACGCGGGAACAAATGAGGGAACGCGGGGACAACTGAGTAAACGCGAGGATAAACGCGAAAAAAATGCGGACAAACGAGGGAACGCAAGGACGAACGGACGAACGCGAGGATAAACGCGAAAAAAACGCGGACAAACGAGTCAGCGCAAGAACAAACGGATAAACGAGGGAACGCAAGGACAAACGAGGGAACGAACGGGCAATCGCGAAAAAAAAAACGCGGACAAACGGGTGAACGCAAGGACAAACGAACGAACGCGAGAAAAAAACGCGGGCAAGCGATTCAACGCAAGAACAAACGAACAAACGCGAGAACAAACGCGAAAAAAACGCGGACAAAGGAGGGAACGCAAGGACGAACGAGCGCGAGGATAAACGCGAGACAAACGAGTCAACGCAAGAACAAACGGACGAACGCGAGGACAAACGAGCGAACGCGGGGACAAATGAGGGAACGCGCGGACAACTGAGTAAACGCGAAGATAAACGCGAAAAAAACGCGGACCAACGAGTCAGCGCAAGAACAAACGGACAAACGAGGGAACGCACGGGCAAACGCGAAACAAAAACGCGGACAAACGAGTGAACGCAAGGACAAACGAACAAACGCGAGAAAAAATCGCGGGCAAGCGATTCAACGCAAAAACAAACGAACAAACGCTTGATGCTGTCCTGATCAGCCAATTATTGACGCTTGGCTTCAAGGAAGTCCTTGTGCGCTTGATCGGCGTTCGTGACATCCGTTCTACGCGTGATGACAATGCTCTTTCCATATTCTTTGGGTTTATATGCTTCTTCGCCCTGGTTCTTGAGCGAAATGGTGATTTCTGAAATCCTTGTGTGATATCTCAAGGTCAGTAACACAAACCTCAGTGAGTGTGTCAATCTTACTGTTGGCCTTCACGAATGAAAGATTTCAGGCCGCTGCCGCGTCCTGTCGAGTTTGCTTTTCCTCCAAGTGCAATGGTGATCGCAGACAGGACGGCGCTCTTTCCATCTGACATGTCAAGTCAATGAAACGAAACACAAGAGTTGTCAGCTATTGCAGATATAGTACTCACTTCCATTGTGACCTATAGAGCTGTTTCAGCATCTGCTTAAAACACTCGAAGTGACACTCACCGATAATGAAATTAATCTGAGGTCCAAACGTGAAAGTAAGTCGTTTGTGGCACATGAAATGGTGCATCTCAATGGACTCAATTATTCCATGCTCTGCGACACCCTACGGCACTTGAGCCATAGGCAGAGGTAGCCGAAATCCTACTAACACCAAAGGTATTGCGCTTCTGCTCGAGGCGCTGGCGAATGGCCTCGCCATTGAGTTCCTCGAAGCGTTGTTCCTCTTCCTCGGTGTGCTCCTCCTGGGTTAAATCTTCGTCGTCGTCTTCGTCGTCGCTATCCTCCTGACGCGCCTTACCATTGCCATTGCCAGACTTCCTATCACGGTGTCGCGACCGGTCAACAACGACCTCATCAATGCTATCAAAAGTTCTGGCACGCTTGGATTGTTGAGCGCGAAGACAGACGAACGAACGCAAGGGCAAACGAGTGAATGTGGGGACGAACGAACGAACGCGAGGACAAACGCGAACAAAATAACTGGGAGGACGTTAGCAACATAGTGTGTTATAGCCAAACGCGACAAAAAACACGGACAACCGAGTGAACGCAAGGCAAATGAGTAAACGCGAAAAAAATGCGGACAAACGAAGGAACGCAAGAACACACGAAGGAACGTGAAAAGAAAATACGGACAAACGAGGGAACGCGGGGACAACTGAGTAAACGCGAGGATAAACGCGAAAAAAATGTGGACAAACGAGGGAACGCGAGAACAAATGAGGGAACGCGCGGACAACTGAGTAAACGCGATGATAAACGCGAAAAAAAATGCGGACAAACGAGGGAACGCAAGGACAAACGAACGAACGCGAGGATAAACGCGAAAGAAACGCGGACAAACGAGTCAGCGCAAGAACAAACGAGGGAACGAACGGGCAATCGCGAAAAAAAAAAAACGCGGACAAACGGGTGAACGCAAGGACAAACGAACGAACGCGAGAAAAAAACGCGGGCAAGCGATTCAACGCAAGAACAAACGAACAAACGCGAGAACAAACGCGAAAAAAACGCGGACAAAGGAGGGAACGCAAGGACGAACGAGCGCGAGGATAAACGCGAGACAAACGAGTCAACGCAAGAACAAACGGACGAACGCGAGGACAAACGAGCGAACGCGGGGACAAATGAGGGAACGCGCGGACAACTGAGTAAACGCGAAGATAAACGCGAAAAAAAATGCGGACAAACGAGGGAACGCAAGGACAAACGAACGAACGCGAGGATGAACGCGAAAAAACGCGGACCAACGAGTCAGCGCAAGAACAAACGGACAAACGAGGGAATGCACGGGCAAACGCGGAAAAAAAACGCGGAAAAACGAGTGAACGCAAGGACAAACGAACGAACGCGAGAAAAAAAACGCGGGCAAGCGATTCAACGCAAGAACAAACGAACAAACGAACAAACGCGAGAACAAACGCGAAAAAAAACGCGGACAAACGAGGGAACGCACGGGCAA